CAGTTACTTGTATGTTGTATTAGTCCATTCTCATGCTTCTCATAAAGACATACCCAAGACTGGGAAATTGACTTTGAGGTCAATTTTGACTCAATTTTGAGGTTAAATTGACTTTGAGGTCAATAAACTGTGAAGTTTAATTGAGTCACAGTTCAGCATGGCTGGGGAGGCCTCAGAATACTTACAATTATGGCTGTAGGCGAAGCAAACACAGCCTTCTTCACATGACAGCAGCAAGGAGATGTGCAGAGTAAAGAGGGGGTAAGCCCCTTATGAAACCATCAGATCTCGTGAGAACTCAATATCACGAGAACAGCATGGAGGTAACTGCCCCCCTCTTCACCCTCCCACTACCAGGTCCCTCCCACGACATGTGGGGATTATGGGAACTACAAGATGAGATTTGGTTGGGGGCACACCCAAGCCATGTTATATATGTTTATGATTTTATATTATAAATGCTTTGATTTACTGATTTTCCTGTCTGCCATTACAGTCTATCACAGTGCCATGCATATAATCAATATGTAACAAGTACTTGCTGGGTTGAATTTCTTATTTATTTTTTTCCCCCAACCCCCTGCCTTCCACCATGGAGTTCGATCTTGTCTTTGAAATTATATGCTCTAAATTGTCATTTTAAAATTTAATTTACAAGTGGCTCTCATTATAAATCCTGTAGCTCTTCTGTCCACATAGTCATTCAACTTTATGTACCTAGTGTGTGGCCATGTGCATACTCTTTCTTAGTGTCATCAAAAATCAGTGTTACATCAGTGGTAAGCAGATTGTATGTGGGGATAAAAACAACAACAAACAAAACCCAACCCCAAGACCAGTATTCTGTATAGAAGAGAAAACTAATCACTCTTGATTATGTGGTTTTGTGATACATTTTTTGACAGTTTTGCTGGCTTGGCTTTCTTTTACTTCACAGGTTTCACTGATTTAATTTAGGATATAAATATATGATACTTGCAGGGCTTAATAGAGTTCTTAACAAGTTTAATTTTTCTTAATTTAACAGATTTTTTAACTTAAATACCACAGAAAATATTTTTATTATACAAAATAACAAAAGCATTGAAGTCTAAAATGGAGTTTTACAAAGCATCTATGCTTCTAAAAGGAAATAAATATTGATGGCTATGAGATGAGTTAGGAGACTGTTAAGGTTATTCAGGCAAGTGACATTGAGGGCTCAAACCATAGTTGTAGGAAAAGAAATGACTAGTCAGCTACATAAATTACACAGCAGAATTTACAGGAATTGGCACTAAATAAGACGTCAGGAATTAGATATATGTTTAGAGAGAAGTCAGGTACAGTTAGCTATTTCTAGGTAATTGCTTAATGCCATTCTAAATATTGCCCAAGACTTCCCACCTCTGTTACTTTGTTCATAGTATCTCATTCTTTCCCCATGTTTGGCTTCTCCAGTCTTAAATCTTAACTGTCTTTCAAGGTCTAGCTTACACCTTGTATTTTCAGAAGATGCCTTCAGATGCCCTCTGAGTGGGGGAAATGCTGAATTCTTATAATGCTTAGAGTCTATAGCATATTTAATAATAATTATTACTACCTGCTATTGTCTGTCTTGTGCATCTTCTGACTAGATTGTGCCTTATGCCTAATAAGTGGATGTTTTGAGTTGAGTTTTTTTGGTTTTTGTCTTAGATAAAACATAATCCAATATAAGTTAGGTAAACTGCTTTCTCTATAGGTTACTCCAGGTTAAAATTTAAAAAGGCCTGTGTTTACCTACTGTTTCTTATAAAACAGCTGTTTCTGTAGTCTTTAAATTTAGATTTGCAGATAATGTTTTGGAGGAAAAGTGATTACAGCACAAAGGCTTATATTAGTATTATAGGATGGCTCAATACTTAGGCTTCTGCAATTTCAGTTCTCATCAGTGTGTGATTTTGCTCTAGTATAGTTCACTGGTGAGCCCTTGGATTGTGAAACACAAAGAACTGGTTCTTTTGTTCTTTGAGGTATTGACATATGGTGAAATTGTTTGCATAATATTCCAGGATTCACTGAAGAAGTTTGCACCACAGCTATAGGAGTGGTTACAGTTTATAAATCAGGGTCCTGGAGAGCAGTGCTTGTGTGAGGTTTTCTTTAATCTCTCAAATTAGACAATTCAAAGACACTGCTACACAAAATGCTTTAGATAGTGTTTATATGTGACTTGCATCTCAGTTCTTTCTTAAGTGGTCTATTACTTTCTTTTTGAATGAAGAACTTATTTCCTTCCATGACTGTATTCCCATGACTCTTAAAGTATTTAAGACTCATTTAAAGTATGTATTATTGCATATATAATTTTTTAACAATTTTACCTTGAAGTTTTTTTATGGAATAATACTAATATTTCATAATTTGATCAGAGACGTGAAAAATCCTTTTTAGAATGTGAACAGTTGAACTTGTCAGAATGAAATCATAAATGTAGTTTCAAATATTTAATATTTTTGAGCTTACTCCAATAAGAAAAGCAGTTGGATTATAGCAGGGCACAGCATGTTAGAACATCATCATTATTAAAACATTATCATTATTATATCATCAAATTCCTAACACTGAGACTTTTCCATGTGCAAGGCACTGCTAGGCACTCTGCATACTTTGTGTCATTCAACCCTAAAAAACCACATTTTTATGTTTACAGTTATTATACCCATTTTGTAGAAGGGTTCCTCCCAAGGCTTGGGAACATTACTTGACTTGTCCGTGATTAATCATAATAAGAACCAGTGCCATGACTGCAGAGCCTTTCCCTGCTGTATGAGACATGAGCAAGACTGCACAATCCATGAGAGCCGGAGCTATGTTTTACCTGTCATTTTAAACCTGTGACTAGCATAATACCTGGTACATAGTAGATGATCTGTAACAAGTATATGTTGGCTAAGTTTGCCTCTCATCACCTAATAATAATAATGGAACCTCTCAGCAGGGCCCGGACCATTCCTGGTAGCTTGGCACAGAGTGAACATATTCCTGGCATTCCACATTAGAACCAGAAATACATTTGTTACAGAGAAACCTTGTCACATGTGGCAGGAAGTTTCATGACTGAATATTTGGAGTTACATGGGTCTTGGTACGTCTTGGTACACTGACCTGTGAATTCGATTGCTACTGAATAGCATAACTTCTATGAGAGAATACGTATTTAGGCAGCTTTCAAATGGACTTTGGAGTAAAGCTTCTTGGTAGGTAAGATGTAGACTGTGGCCTATGAGGAACATGATGAGCCTTCCCTTTAGAACTCAAAGTCACCATTATGAGTATTGATTATAGTTTATAGGACCTCATTATGTAAAAACTGAGAAACGTCGAGCTGCTCTAGGGAATTAAGGATGAAGCACCTGAATGCCCCACTTTCTCTGTTTCCTTCCTGCCTGTCTTCCCCTCATCTCTTGCGGAGCCTCTGAAACTGATTTGACAAGCCTTAGGCTACTGGAAGCAGAGGATGACTAATCCTTGCTCCAGACCAGTTTCTGCATTTTTTTTTTTTTTTTTTTTTTTGAGACGGAGTCTCGCTCTGTCGCCCAGGCTGGAGTGCAGTGGCTGGATCTCAGCTCACTGCAAGCTCCGCCTCCCGGGTTCACGCCATTCTCCTGCCTCAGCCTCCCGAGTAGCTGGGACTACAGGCGCCCGCCACCTCGCCCGGCTAGTTTTTTGTATTTTTTAAGTAGAGACGGGGTTTCACCGTGTTAGGATGGTCTCGATCTCCCGACCTCGTGATCCGCCCGTCTCGGCCTCCCAAAGTGCTGGGATTACAGGCTTGAGCCACCGCGCCCGGCCCAGTTTCTGAATTTTTAAATGAAGAACCCAAGGCTGAGAAAAGTGACTTCCTGAAGTCACACGGCTATTTCAGGCACACAGTTAATTTGTGGCAGAGGACTAGATGGGACTTTCAGAGTCTAGTGCTTACCAGTTCTATTATAAATTATTTCAAGTACTATTTAAATTGAATAATGAAATCTTTATACAACTTTAGTATCCTGTTTTATATTAAGTCTTTGAAAATAAATATCCTTTGCTCAGTGCTAAGAACTAATATTAACCTATTGTTTCACAGTTTGAATAACTTTTTACATGTAATATGATCCTCACAACCTGAAGAGTAGGAAGAACAGAATTTTATCACTATTCCTATTTTAGAGATAAAGTCTTAGGGTAATATCACACACCCAACAAGTTGCAGAGCCAGAATTCAAAAGTAGATTTTCTCAGCGTAAGATTTGAAATTGGACTTACTTAAGTGAACTAGTTCAGCCAGTCTGGATCAGAGAAGCAAGCTTCTTGGTTGTAGTGATGGTGAAGTGGGGTAGGCCACATGAGGGTTAAAGAGGAGGTTTGGAAAAAGACCCTCACCCCTGAACTCTGTAGTGAAGGAACAAATAGAATCTTGCCAAATTAAGGGACTGTAGGTTTGGAACAATGGCAGGAGTGAGTATATACTTGGTTTTATTGAGATAGTGTGATGAAAAGGAGCATTCCCTCAGACTAGATTTAAGTATTTGTTTTTATATTAGTTAGCTATGTGACTAGCTAAGTCAGTTGATCTTTCTAAGCCTTGATGGTCTCATCTGTAAAATGAGAACAATATTAACTTTGTGAACCCTGCTCTGATTGCTCAGAACTCTTTTTTTTTTTTTTTCTCTCCTGGGTTCTTTGCATTTCAGTATTTTTAGTAACACTATATAGCTAAATTATGAAATTGTTATACATGTTCCTATACAGAATGCAGAAATACTAGAAACTTATTACTGAAATTTACCTGCTACTGGCGTCAGAAAGACACCAGTTACCATGAACCAAAGAGAAGTTCCTGTTACCTTTTTTGGTGACAGATTTGATCCCCAACCCATATCAAGTTGGGTTTTCGTGTTTTATTTTGGTTGTAAAATGATTAAATTCTCTCCTTATCTATGAAATAGTAGCGAATTGTTCCATCATTAATTAATGTGCTTTTTTTTTTCTAGTTATATAAGTTTGGAGAGACAGTTTCTATTGTTTTTTGGACAGACACTTGGAGACCAGAAAGCTTCTTTGACAAAGTGAAGAAGAACAGACAAAATGGCATGCACACATTATGTTTACTCGGTAAGGGTTTGGGAATTTCCTTGAAGTAACAATATGGAACTATCATATTTTTCTTTTTTTTGATTTTGTGTTAAGGTAAAAACTGTTGTATGGATAATTAGCTAGAGGTAAGAAAAGACACAGTCTAGCCATTCTATGCAGACCACACTCTTTCCTACACTCTTAGAGAGACATGCATCTTCTGTTTCAGGTACCACGTGGTTATTTCTGCATACACACCATAGTTATGCTGCTCCCTCTTATGCCCTAGTAGATCCTCTCCAGTATTCCATATCTTACTCATTTGTCCATCAAGGATTTACTGCAATCCAATAGACATGCACTGAGCAAGTCTTACCAAGGACCATCCTGCACCTTCCTAGGGATGTTCTTTGAATACTGCAGTCTTGATGCTATCAGATTCACAATGATAGATCTAAAAGAGACTCTGGAGATCATCTTACTGAAGCCTGTTTTACAGATGAAGTTGAGGCCCAGAATATTGAATTATTTCCCCAATGTTACCTAGTCAGTTGGTGGCAGAACTGGGAGAATCAGATAGCCTTTTAATAATAGCTCATTTCACTGTACCATCTTGCTCAAATCCCATTTCCTGTTTCGTGTGGAAAGAGCTGGCTGGGATCACTGTCTTTGTTTACCCAGATAATAGTACTGAGATTCAGAAAGGCATGGTGTTTTCTTTCTAGCAGAGGCACTGAAATTTTACTGACTCACCTTTGCTAATCAGCCCCTATTTTAGTAGCATATGTTGTAGAAAGAAATACTGGTATCAAAGACTTAATCTGTGACTGAACAGAACACAGCTAACTGACATTTTTGATAACTTTGAAATGATACTTCTACTTGGAATCAGAAGACAAAATCCCAGTGCTACTACTTACTAGCTAGAGAATACTGTAAACATTCCTTAGCTTTCATATTTATCAAATAGGAATAATTCCTCCTCCTTCATGGAGTTGTATAGAGCAGTACTTCTCAAACTATTTGTGGTAAAGAACCATGGTTGGGTTGTTTAAAACATATGTTTGATTTTTAAATTTTCAATCTTTTATGTCAGTGTCAAGTTACCATAAATTTTGTACATATTCTTACTCCTGTAGTTACTTCATCATTTACTGGTAACACAAAGCTCACATACTGGCATTGGTCCTGAGATCATACTTTGAATTGTACTGTCTTAGTGAAACTGTGTGAAGTCACTCACCAAAATGTCTATCACATAGCACAACATCAGGGCAGATAAACCCATGATTTTGGCCTCTGTATATTAAATACAGATATTCAGAACATTAGAAAAGATTTCTGTTTGCCACTTTTTTTTTTTTTTTTTTAGACAGAGTCTCACTCTGTCGCCCAGGCTGGAGTGCAGTGGCGCAATCTCGGCTCACTGCAACCTCCGGCTCCCGGGTTCAAGCGATTCTCCTGCCTTGGCTCCCTGGGTAGCTAGGACTACAGGTGCCCGCCACCACACCCAGCTAATTTTTTGCAGTTTTTTAGTAGAGACAGGGTTTCACTGTGTTAGCCAGGGTGGTCTCCATCTCCTGACCTCGTGATCCACCCACCTCAGCCTCCCAAAGTGCTGGGATTACAGGCATGAGCCACTGCACCCGGCCTTTTTTTTTTTTTTTTTTGAGATGGAGCCTTGCTCTTGTCGCCCAGGCTGGATTGCAGTGGCGCGATCTTGGCTCACTGCTACCTCCTCCGCCTCTTGGGTTCAAGCGATTCTCCTGCTTCAGCCTTTCCGAGTAACTGGGATTACAGGTGCCTGCCACCACACCCAGCTAATTTTTGTAATTTTAGTAAAGATGGGGTTTTGCCATATTGGCCAGGCTAGTCTCAAACTCCTGACCTCATGATCTGCCCGCCTCTGCCCCTCAAAGTGCTGGGAATACAGGTGTGAGCCACCGCGCCCGGCCTGTTTGCCAAAAATTTTTAAGCTATTTGCATAATATAACCAATTCTCTATTATTTAACAATATTTAATTTTAAGCAACACAGTAAGTTTTTTGTTTGTTTGTTCGTTTTTTAAGAGACAAGGTCTTGCTCTGTCTCCCAGGCTGGAGTGCAGTGTCACAATCTCATCACACTGCAGTCTCAACCTCCCATTACCCAAGTGATCCTCCCACCTCAGCCTTCTAGGTATGGGACCACAGGCACACGCCACCACACCTAGCTAATTTTTGTATTTTTTGTAAAAATGGGGTTTCGCCATGTTGCCCAGGCTGGTCTCGAATTTCTGGGCTCAAGCAATCCACCCACCTTGGCCCCGCAAAGTGCTGGGCTTAGAGGAGTGAACCACAGTGCCTGGCCGTATGTCTTAATAGAAAATATTATTATACATTTTTACTAATGATTGGCATTTCTTAGGATAGAAATTAATATCTAGAGCGGGGATTAGCAAACAAGGACCCATGGATCACATCTGGCCTGCTGTTTGTTTTGTAAATAAGGATCTATTGGAACATGGCCATGCACCTTCATTTATATATTATCTATGGCCACTTTCATGCCACAACAGCAGTGATGGGTAGTTGTGACAGAGACCATATGGTCCTCAAAACCTAAAATGTGTCTGCCCCTTTTCAGAAATTTGCTGACTCCTGATCTTGAGTGAAATTTTATCTAATCTCATGTGCTGCACCCTGAATCCCTTCAGTGATGTGTTATAACCTTACGCTACTTTTTTCATAGTCTTACCAGCCATATGAATTACCTTATTAACTTGATTTCTTCACTGCGTCGTAAGAGCAGAGACTTTATCTTGCTCATTATTCTCTTCCTAATGTCTGGAAGTCTAGCACAGTGTAGGCATTAAATAAATATTTATGGAAATTAACTGAAGTTTTATTTAGTCTATATTCTCAGACTTGGTCTTATTACCCATTGGCACAGAAAATCTTTTAACTCTTGCTAGTTCAATCAATTCCAGCCAGAATACACTCCTTTTAATTCCATTTTTCTCTCTTTTTTTTTTTTTTAGATAAGGTTTACCCTGTCATCCAGGCTGGAGTGCAGTGGTGCAGTCTCCGCTCACTGCAATCTCTGCCTACCAGGTTCAAGTGATTCTCCTGCCTCAGCCTCCTGAGGCTGGGATTACGGAAGTGTGCCACCATGCTTGGTTAATTGTTTTGTTTTTAGTAGAGATGGGATTTTGCCATGTTAACCAGGCTGGTCTCAAACCCCTGGCCTCAAGTGATCTGCCCATCTTGACCTCCCAAAGTGCTGGGATGACAGGCTTGAGCCACTGCACCTGGCCTCCTTTTATTCTTGACATCTAATTAATTATAGATCTAGATTAGGCCATAAACTCTTCTCTAACACATTTTCTTTTGTCTTATGCCAATATTCGCAATCAGCTAGTATGACGTTTTCTTATTTTAGTTTATTGCCAGTGTGATTTAGTGCTTCATTCATCATTAATTAGCTTTATAATTTTGTCCTTGAATTTTCCATGTAAAAAGAGACTGGTCTTACTTTTTTATAGTCCTTACTAAAAAGGACACTGTAAGACTTATGAGTTGGTGTGGACCATGCCATCAGATATATCTATCTTGTTATCCCTAAGTTCGATCCAGTTAAGATCAGCTGTGGGTAGAAGGTCAAAGTAGATGACAGGTGAAGGATCATTTTTGAAAGGACTTTTGCTGAAGAAGATGTATCTGAGGGATGAAAAATGGGGATTCATTGGAGCTCAGATACTAGAATGTGTGTTTTACAACAGTACTGAAAGGTTCTAAAACAGAACAGGGAAGGAAGAATCTGAGAGGCAGGCTACCTGATAACCTCCCCTTATAGCCATTAAAAATGACAGGAAAGGCTGGGCACAGAAGCTCACGCATGTAATCCCAGCACTTTGGGAGGCCGAGGCAGGCAAGGTCAGGAGATGGAGACCATCCTGGCTAACACGGTGAAACCCCGCGTCTACTAAAAATATTAAAAAATTAGCTGGGCGTGGTGGCGGGCGCCTGTAGTCCCAGCTACTCTGGAGACTGAGGCAGGAGAATGGCGTAAACCCGGGAGGCGGAGCTTGCAGTGAGCCGAGATTGCGCCACTGCACTCCAGCCTGGGCGACAGAGCGAGACTCTGTCTCAAAAAAAAAAAAAAAAGAAAAAGAAAAAAAGAAAAAGTGACAGGAAGGAGAGCAAGCGGTGCTTATCTTTTCAGAAGCTTTGGAAAGGCAAATAGAAGATCAGTGTATAGGTGTTTATTGAGTGCTTACCCTATGCCCCATGTAGAGTTAGTTTCTTTTGGAATACCAAGAAAGTATAGACGTGGGTCCTGCTCTCAAAGCTTTGAAATCTAGTTTGGAACTAATGTGTTGTGCATGTGAAAGTTTAAAGAACAATTAAGTTCTATTGTATGGAGAGGCAGGAAGGACAAACCAGAAATTTGGCTCTTGAGTTCTCTTTCTAAGAGCTGCCACTTTTCTTAGCTTTCCTGGGAAAAGACAAACAAGGTTAAACAATATATCTTCCTTGCTCCATTAACAAAAGCAGGAACAGGCTGTGAGGTATAGGATGTCATGATTTCAAATCCTCAAACCATAGTTCTTATCGTTTTATCGTCTGGCATTCTCATTATTTAAATTAGTATGTATTTATTGAATGCTTGCTGTGGGTTAAGTTCTGTAGGGATTAGTGTGGGTAAATCATGGTAGGAAAACACAGAGAATTTAAAATTGACCAATATATATGATATAATTAGAGGTTAATAAAAGATAGCATTAATTGTATAGATCTTTCCAAGAACAAAAAGCATTTGAGGAGATGTCAACAAAGACTTTATGAAAGAGTTAGACTTAGGTTGTCCAGAAGGCGGATAGTTTAAGATGGGTTGGTGACTGAGTGGTGGGGCAGCCACATGAGTAAATTTATTCAGTAAACATTTATGGAGTGTCTTCTGGGTACTTCACCTTATGCTAGGTCCTGGTACTAAGATGAATCAGAGACGCTTACATTCTAGCAAGCAGAAATAGAGAAGAAAAATTATGGACTGTTTGAAGACAAGGGAAAAGTAACACGGGGTCTGGCTTGAGACGAAGTCACGAATGCATTCCTTGATTAAAAAGGATTTACCTGTAAAAATTCTCCTCAACCCTCTTCACTTTAAAAATCAGATTCTATAGAGCATATTTGAAAAGTAAAGAAAACTGAAAATATGAAAAATCTCATTATCACAACATTTCAGAAGCTCAAAGTGAATGAATTAATAAATGGGTTAAAATTTTTAAAATCTTACAAACATAATTTAATGGAAATCTAAAAGTTGACTTACACCATTGATTATAGGGAGGCCACATTCTTAATAACAGACATTCACTTTTTTCTCCATAATGTGACAGACAAGTACAAATATATTTCAAACCTGAAAAAGGCTTTCAGTGCTGGTTCCAAGAACATTTAAAAATATGTATTTAATATTAACTCTGCTATAATTTCCAAGCAAACTCTTGGATGTTCTTTATAAGAAACACTTCTATAATCACTTAGGAAATGTGCATAAGGCTATTAAAGACTCCTCAGTTGCACTATGTTTATTTTTGCAAAAACAAACTTTGGCTGAACCATTTGTTTCAGCATGTAAAGCAGGAAGCAGCTGTTGCTGTTGTATACTGAGTTCCTTTGAGGATGTAGAGTGATTCTGCTTTTTTACCTTTACCAAATAGTTCAGTTAAGCATTAGTGATTCAAAAGTATACCGAATCAAATATTTGTGATGCTTGGACTGTCAAGCTTTTTGAGAGCAGAGGTTATATCTGGTCAGGTCCCTGTGGTCTCCCAGTCTCTGGCACAGTGTCTGACACACAGTTGGTGCTCAAATCCCTGTTAAAAGCATGAATACTTAGAATTAAAGTATTTATTCAAAATTATGGCATGTGTTAACATTCATAAGAAAGCAGAAGACTTTTTTAAATGTGGAAAAGATTTTTTTTCTACTTATATCTATCGAAGGCCTTTCAGTTGGGTCTGTGCAGTTATTAGCTGGCAGAAATGAAAACAAAGATTGTGATTAGCTGTTAGTAGTGTATTTGCCAATGTTTATCTAATTCTTTCCTTTGTCTTCTTTTCCAAAAGGAAATTAGATGTTAGCAGGATGGTCTCAGGGCCAAGCTCATGTTTGTTTTCTCACTAGTGGCACAACCACAAGCTTCCATTCTTCTCTATGTTACTGTAACAAAGTGGCTAATTAAAGTGTGAGGGAAGAATGTTTCCCCAAAATTTAGGTGACTCTTAACTGAGGTTTACACATAGGGTTTTGGATAAAGTTTTTAATTAAATTAAAAGAACTATTTTTACTTCCTACAGACATCAAAGTAAAGGAGCAGTCTTTGGAAAATCTAATCAAGTAAGTTATTATTCTGAGAATGCATACATCTGTTTTATTTCCTTGAACCAAATTCAATAAATTCTACTTAAATGACCTGAGTTCTAAAGATGGTTGAAAATGAGCTCTCATTAACAGTGTGAACATTAAACATTTTTATTCTTATGAAATGATAAGCAGTATAATAGAGTAGAAATAGCAATATATCTTGTAGATTAAACACTGAGAACAGTGGTTAGCATCTAACAGACACTCAGTGCTTGTGGAATGAATTAATGCATTGGGATTCTGAAAACATGGGTGTGAGACTGGGCGATGGTTCACGCCTGTAGTCCCAGCACTTTGGGAGGCTGAGGCAGGTGGATTGTTCGAGGCCAGGAGTTCAAGACCAGCCTGGCCAACATGGTGAAACCCCATCTCTACTAAAAAGGAAAAAATTAGCTCGGCGTGGTGGCACGTGCCTTTAGTCTCAGCTACTTGGGAGGCTGAGGCACGAGAATTGCTTGAATCTGGGAGGCAGAGGTTGCAGTGAGCTGAGATCACGCCACTGTGGTCCAGCCTGGGTAACAGAGTGAGAAAAAAAAAGACATGGGTTTGAGTCCTGAGTCTGCCTCTACTTGAGTGCTCTTGGGCAAGTTACTTCCATCTCTGAGCCTTATTTTCTTCATATGTATAATGATAGTACTAATCCTTTTTTACTTAGGCAGTGTCTAATACAGTACCCACTACCCACTTGTGACTAAGGAGCATTTGAAATGTGGTTAATGTGACTGAGGAACTGAATTTTTCATTTAATTTTAATTAATTGAAAAATGATACTCTTGTTGGAAAACTTTTAAGTATGTTTGAAACAGCTTTAGTATATAAATCTACTTTTACAACTATAAATTTTATGAAATTTAAATACAGATCAACTATTTCCAGTGAAAATTTAATATCCAAATTAAGATGTGCTATAAGTACATACCAGATTTCAAAGACTTAATATAAAAACAATCTCTTTAATAATTTTTATATGAGTAGGTGTTAAATTACAACATTTTGGATTAAATAAAATATATTATTGAAATTTTTGCCTTTTTTGGTTGGGCGTGGTGGCTCACGCCTATAATTCCAGCCCTTTGGGAGGCCGAGGCAGGTGGATCACGAGGTCAGGAGTTCGAGATCAGCCTGGCCAAGATGGTGAAACCCCGTCTCTACTAAAAATACAAAAAAAAATTAGCCAGGCATGGTGGCGCGCACCTGTAATCCCACCTACTTGGGAGGCTGAGGCAGAGAGTTGCTTGAACCCAGGAGGCAGAGGCTGCAGTGAACTGAGATCACACTACTGCACTGCAGCCTGGGAAACACAGTGAGACTGTCTCAAAAAAAAAAAATGCCTTTTTACAAACTTTTTTGTTAATATGGCTACAGAAAACTTGATTATATATGTGGCTTCATTTATATTTCTATTGGATAGCATTGACTTAGAGAATTGTTTTGAAAGTCATTAAAATAATCTATATGAAATGTATTATAAACCACAATAGCTATATATATATGTATATGTGTGTGTGTGTGTGTATATATATGTTTTTTTTTTTTTTTTTTTTTTTTTTTGCGACAGAATCTCACTTTGTCGCCCAGGCTGGAGTGCAGTGCTGTGATTTCAGCTCACTGAAACCTCCATCTCCCGGATTCAACTGATTCTCCTGCCTCAGTCTTCTGAGTAGCTGGGATTACAGGCGTGTGCCACCAAGCCCAGCTAATTTTTTTATTTTTAGTAGAGATGGAGTTTCACCATGTGGGTCAGGCTGGTATCGAACTCCTGACCTTGTGACCCACCCGCCTCGGCCTCCCAAAAAGCTGGGATTAAAAAAAAAAAAATGCTGGGATTACAGGCATGAGCCACCACACGTGACCTGCAATAGCTATATTTTTATTAATATGATAATTCGGCAAGCCTGATAGGCTTTTGAGGCATACAGAAATAAACATCACCTGAGACTTTTAAGCATCCAAGATGCTTTAGTTTACTTTTCTTAGAGGAAACAGTGAAAAGAAGAAATGTGGTTTAAAAATGGCCATAAAAAGGACACTAAACCTGATTAAGCTAGAGTATAGACCAAATTGCCACTTATTTTGAATTGTTTTTGCCAAAGGTATCACTTTGAATAAAGATAACTTTCATTTAGACATCTATCTTTATGTGTTCCTGCCATCATTTCAGTGAGATGAGAGGAAAGTTGAAGTAGAACAATGAAAAAGCTTAAGAAATGAACAATCATCATGCTTTTGTGTATGCTTAAAGTGAGTATATGTAAAAAACATCAAACAGAATGTAGACTGTGGTACTTGAGTATACCTGGGAGAGTAATTGCATTAATAATGTATTATGTAGTTTAATGGCTAAGAACAGTGGCATCTAGTTTTCTACCTATAGGGGAAGGAAGATCTATGAACCTCCACGGTATATGAGTGTAAACCAAGCAGCCCAGCAGCTTCTGGAGATTATTCAAAATCAAAGAATACGAGGAGAAGAACCAGGTACTCAAGACCCTAGAAGGGCTCTCACATTATTCCTCTGTTGCTGCATTTAGATGTGTATATGACTTAATATTGACTCATACCACTGTGGAAGCAAGAGTCAGTGTTTTTGTATTGTACTATTTCTTGTCATTTTTGTCCAACTTTAATCCCATAGGCTTCAAGTTGTACTGTAAGAAAAAAAAATTGGCATTCTTTTATAGTGTAATTAACACCGTTCCAGAACGTGAGGATTTTTCACAAATTAAACATCAGTCACATTTGATATAAATATATTAGAATATAAATATTTTTGTAAAATGTATCTATCATGTTATCCCTAATCAATGGTGAGATCTGTCCTGCAAAAATATACTTATCCTACTTTTATTTTCCCTCTTTTCATTCTTAACACTGAGACTAGGAATAGTTTTCTTCAGGGTAAATATGAGAAAATTTGTTATTATATTCCTAATATGTAGACACAGTGTGTGGTGTATAATAATAATGTTTATTGTCAGTAAATCTTTATGGGAGGTTCTCTTTTTTTTTTTTTTTGAGACAGGGTCTCACTTTGTCACCCAGTCTGGAGTGCAGAGGCGCGATCTCAGCTCACTGCAGCCTCCACCTCCTGGGCTCAAGTGATCCTCCCACCTTAGCTGGACTACAGGTGCATGCCACCATGCCTGGCTAATTTCTTTGTGTGTTTTTGGTAGAAACAGAGTTTCACCATATTGCCCAGGCTGTTCTCGAACTCCTCGGCTCAAGCGATCCTCCCACCTCGGCCTCCCAAAGCCTCCCAAAGTGTTGGGATTACAGGTGTGAACCACTGCGCCCGACCCACTGTGATCTTTTTTTTTTCTTGAGATGGAGTCTTGCTTTGTTGCCTAGGTTACAGTGCAGTGGTGCAATCATGGCTCACTGCAACCTCTGCCTCCCGAGCTCAAGCCATTCTCAGCCACTTGAGTAGCTGGGACTACAGGTGCATACCACCACGCCCGGCTAATTTTTTTGTATTTTTGGTGGAGATGGGGTTTCACCACGTTGCCCAGCTGGTCTCGAACTCCTGAGCTCAAGTGATCCGCCCACCTCAGCCTCCCAAAATGTTGGGATTACAGGTGCGAGTCACTGTGCCTGGTCAAGAGATTCTTGAGTGATTGTTGCTTATTTTATTCTCATTAGTAGGCCATGTTACAGTCATGAAACAAATAGTCTGCAAGGCTGTTCTATATCCATAACTTTGTACAGAGGTTGCTTGCATTCCCGTTTGTCCTTGGATAAATCATTTGCCCCCTTTTGATCATTGTTCAATCAAGACCCCTTTCCCAATTAAACAATACAACCATTAAAGGGTCAGCTCTTTAGCAGTAGCACCAGAGTCAATAATACTAAAGCTCATTAAGGCTGGCTCTTTTGAACTTAAAGACATAAATCATGCCAAATGCTCATTATTTGTTAAGGAATCTATAATCTACTAGTCTCGTATCTACTATCTTAGCTCTCATTACCATGATTTAAAAGAGAGAGTATTACATTTTAAAAACAGAAAACTGAAGTTTATCACATTGGCAAGGGAGAAACTCAAATCTGTGAATTTATTTCATAATCTCATGGTTTCTTCAGTATAGCTAGGTCAATATGAACATAAGTAAGTTATTAAAAACATAAGTGTGTAATAAACATTGTTTACTCAGAACTTATTTTAAAACAAATGCTGTGCAATTGTAGAGTATAAGTATAGCCTGTCAAGTCCTAAAAGCTTAATGTAAGCCTTTAGAATTCTGAAAAGGGTAAAATTTGAAAGTACTCTTTTATAATATTAGGTAATACAAATGATTTAGAAAATCCCTTGGATGAATTAATGGATAACTGGTCCATAAGTGGCAAAAGAGATTTAAGATATTTGGGGCTTCTTGAAATGTACTTGTGGTACTGATGTTTGTTTGACTGTTGGACAGGATGATGCATTTGCTGAATTGAATGGCAGTATCTTTTTTTTTTTTTTTTTTTTTTTAATAGCAATCACCGAGGAGACACTTTGTGTTGGCTTAGCCAGGGTTGGAGCAGACGACCAGAAAATTGCAGCAGGCACTTTACAGCAAATGTGTACTGTGGACTTGGGAGAACCATTGCATTCCTTGATCATCACAGGAGGCAGCATACATCCAATAGAGATGGAGATGCTAAATCTCTTTTCCATACCAGAAAATAGCTCAGAATCTCAAAGCATAGATGGACTTTGAATGTAGATATTTACTATTGTCTAATTTAAATTTCAACCATATATGGATTGATATGGTTTGGCTGTATCCCCACCCAAGTCGCATCTTGAATTTTAATCCTCATAATCCCCAGGTGTTGTGGGAGGTAATTGAATCATGGGGGGTGGTTACCCCCATGCTATTCTCATGATAGTGACTTCTCATGAGATCTGATGGTTTTGTAAGCGTCTGGCATTTCCCCTACTGGTTCTCATTCTCACTCTTGCCACTCTGTGAAGAGGTGCCTTTCACCATGATTGTAAGTTTCCTGAGGCCTTCCCAGCCACGTGGAACTGTGAGTCAGTTAAACCTCTTTTACAATTACCCAGTCTCGGGTGTTTCTTTAGCAGTGTGAGAATGGACTAATACATGGATGCATGCACATTTGTGTAACAAACAGGTCTTTTGGCTTATCTAGCAAGTATAAAACAAGCGACCAAAAAGAAGTTGACTCAACAATGCTTGGTTTCCCGTGGCAGTGAGTTTTTTCCCTATGATATCATCAGTTGTTGCTGCTATTTTGGCAACTTTTCAGGATGTACACATATAGAGCAGACCAGGCTGGAAAGCTTGTGGATAGACATCCACTGACAGAATCATTTGAGCAGTTTTTATTTATGAAACCAATTTATACAAGATGGTTGTTAACAGAATATAACTTAGAGGTAACTGGAATTTGAATCACTTGAATCTCAGTTTTAAAGGGTAGAAGTTATGAGTGCCAAGAAAAGCAAATAAGAGATTAGTAAACATTCACAAAATATGTTTATAATTTTCTTCTTTTTAAAAAAGTTAGCTGTCCTGACTGCATGAGTTGTCCTGACAGCAGCTGGTATTACTGTATATAAACAAAGGTAGAAAGATTACATTTCCATCCAGCAGTCTGACTTAAAGCTCAGCTGAGCACATGCCACAAAATGACATTCTTCTGAATTCACTGTCTTGGTTAGCTGACATCCTAATTATGTGGCTCATATTCTGCTGTATTTTGGAGGTTATGTAATTGTTTAATTATAAATGTTCAGCCAGTCTTGTACAGTTGCTGTTTGGTTTTAAATAGCATCTTTCACATCCAAGCAGACAAATGGAAAACTTGCTGACTACAAAATAAAATTTGTAAAAATGTAAGTTTGAAGGCAACAATGGATTAGTCAAGATAATGCCATATCACTTAACTCAGTTAATACGCCATTGTATATGTACGAGTAGTCACACATCTTACTAGTTTTAAATAACACTCCATTTATGACCACAGGTCATTCTATTTCATGACCAAAGAGTTTTATATTTTTTGTCAATTCTGAATAGAAATAGCTTTCTTAATATGCTAGTTCAGTTGGTTCAACTCTTAAGTATTTCCATGGCCTAACCAATTTTTCTGAGCCCTTAATAAATCCATTGGAAGTTGAACAAAGATTTCCCTACTCCCTGGGTTCATCAATTAGCTAAAGATTATTCGACTTATTTTACTTCGAGATAAAATATATTTTTATATATATATGAAACATCTCTTTTTTTCTTTCTTTGTGAGACAGAGTCTCACTCTGTAGCCCAGGCTGGAGTGCAGTGGTGCAATCTTGGCTCACTGCAACCTCTGTCTCCCAGGTTCAAGCGATTATCCTGCCTCAGCCTCCCGAGTAGCTGGGATTACAGTCATGCGGCACCACGCCTGGCTTTTTTTTTTTTCTATTTTTAGTAGAGATAGGGTTTCGCCATGTTGGCCAGGCTGGTCTTGAACTCCTGACCTCAAGTAATCCACCCGCCTCGGCCTTCCAAAGTGCTGGGATTACAGGCATGAGCCACCATGCCTGGTGTCATTTTCAATCTGTTAGACACAGAAGGGGAGAGAGCCAAGTACATTTAAATACCAGTTGTATATTCTTTTGTTCTCATATGTTAAACTAAACATTTAAGAACTATAAAATGAAGAACTTCTGGTTTTAGTAATGGTGTTATAGCTTGTAATGTCCAAACCCTCCCAATTATAAACTGTGGACAAAATATAATAAACAATGGTCTAAAAACTCTAGGGAGTCACTGAAACCAGCTGTGAACTATATATGATTTTTCCCCTTAGGTCATTCCCAGACTGTGTGGTAAGGCATGGCTAGAACTCAAGAGAAAGTTGCGGTCTTACTGGCTTGAGGTGTTAGGATGGAATTAAGGGCTGCTAGAAGGACTGAAAATTAAAGCAGCAGATCCTAGAAATGAAGGTGTCAGAAATGGAGGAGGCTTCCTGTCTGCATATGATCTCTCCTTGAATCCTTAGCTAACTCTCGAACCGTGCAGGCCCCAGGAAGACTCCATGGACCTTGGTGAAAAGCCACAGTTGGAAGGCTCAAGAAGCTGAACAGAGATGGCTGTTTTCTTTTGCAACAGAAGACAGAGTTTCAAGTTTGAATTCTGACAAGTTAGAAGGGCTTGATAGAACTTTGAGCTTCCCAAAGCCCCAGAATGGCCATGTATTAATAAAGGCTGTGCACAAGACTAAAGATTTATGCTAAAACTAAGGATAAAACCTTTAACATAATGTAAAATCAAGGTGATTAGCCAATAATTTAAATGAGATCAAAGCTTAGCACTCTTCAGAGTATAATAAAATGAATCTGCATAACATATAAACAATGACCTGAATACAATAAAATGCTATAGGGTATCCAAAGTAATAAGGAAATACGGCTTATAGCTTATGGTTTTAAAAAAAGAGCAGACAATAGAAAAAAAAATCCTAACATAAACTAGGTGATAGTGGAATTAGCAGACAAGGTTATTTTTAAAGCAGTTTTTAGAACTATGTTCATGGAAGAAAAGGTAGTGTGATGCCGGGCGAGGTGGCTCAAGCCTGTAATCCCAGCACTTTGGGAGGCTGAGACGGGCGGATCACTAGGTCAGGAGATCAAGACCATCCTGGCTAACACGGTGAAACCCCGTCTCTACTAAAAAATACAAAAAAAAAAAAAAAACCTAGCCGGGCGAGGTGGCGGGCGCCTGTGGTCCCAGCTACTCGGGAGGCTGAGGCAGGAGAATGGCGTAAACCCAGGAGGCGGAGCTTGCAGTGAGCTGAGATCCGGCCACTGCACTCCAGCCTGGGCGACAGAGCCAGACTCAGTCTCAAAAAAAAGAAAAGGTAGTGTGGTTGTAATGAATGCATATAAGTGTATACTCTCACCCCAAAAGTGGAAACATTAAAAAAAAAAATGGGTTTAACTGGAGAATACAGATGATACATGAAAGAAATTGTCCAATCTGAGGAAGAGAGAAGAAAAGATTAGAAGGAAAACAGCACAGAGCCTCAATGCCATTTGGGGAAATATCAAGCAATTTAACTTACGTAACTGGATTTCTAGAAGAATAGAAGGAAAATAGGGCAGAAGAAAATATAAGTAACTCACAGGCCAGAATTACCCCAAATTCTGTCAAAGCCAAAAAGCTGTCAACTCAACAGATCCAATAAACTGAGTGAACCCCAAATGAAATAAAGAAAATCATACCTAACATAACAGGTAAAACTGATGAAAACCAAGGATAAAAGAAAAAAGCTACCACGGGTGTTAGTAGGGAACCTACCAAATTTTTATTTGAAATTAAACTTAACTAGGTTCCTTTGTTTGCTAAATCTGGCAATCCTGTTCTGTATGTAACTTAATCTCAATTTAATGAAATTGTAAAATGAACACTGCATTACTCAGCAGGGAAAGGATGAACAGTAGTGAAATCCCAGTGTTAGTTAAAATGGAAATACCTGAAGGCTGCATACATTTATTTAATAGTGTTTAGCTCTTTAATACTATAAAGTTCTTTAAAATTATCATGTAGTGAAACCCCATTCCATAATCTAGATACAGAACAGTTTCATCACCCACAAGATCTCCCACTCTCCCTTTATATTCATCCCCTAGTTCATTCCTCCTTATTGTTAAGTAGTGTTCTCTCATATGGATAGACTACAGTTTGTTTATCCATTTTTATCCATTCACTATTTGAGAGATAAGTGGTTTGTTTCCACTTTCTAGCGATTATGTATAAAGTTGTTAAAACATTAACATAACAGGTTTTTGCCTGATATCCGGAGGGATTGCTGGATTACATGATTAAGTGTGCACCTAATTTTATAAGAAACTGCCAAAATGATTTCCAAAGTGCTTGTACATTTTGCATTCTCGCCAGCATTGTATTATCTTTGCCAGCACTTCATATTGGCAGTATTTTGAACTATCCCGATAGGTGTGTAGTGGTGTCTTTTTTTTTTTTTTTTTTTTTTTTTTTGAGACAGAGTTTTGCTGTTGTTGCCCAGGCAGGAGTGCAATGGCATGATCTCGGCTCACCACAACCTCTGCCTCCTGGGTTCAAGCTATTCTCATGCCTCAGCCTCCCAAGTAGCTGGGATTACAGGCACGTGCCACCACGCCCAGCTAATTTTATATTTTTAGTAGAGACGGGGTTTCTCCGTGTTGGTCAGTCCAGTCCCGAACTCCCGACCTCAGGTGATCTGCCTACCTCGGCCTCCCAAATTGCTGGGATTACAGGCGTGAGCCACCGTGCCTGGCCGCAGTGGTGTCTTTGTTGTGGTTTTAATTTGTATTTCCCAATGCCTAATGATGTGGATCATCTTTTCATGTGCTTATTCACCATTCTTATATCTTATTTGATGAAGCATCTCTTCATGTCTTTTGCCTACTTTTAAATTGGATGGTTTCCATATGGTTAAATTTTGAGTGTTTGTTACATATTCTGGATAAAAGCTTTTGTAAGATATATGACTTGCAAATATTTTCTCCCCATCTGTAGCTTGTCCTTTCATTCCCTTAACCATTTTTGATAAAGCAAACATTTTAAATTTTGATTAAATCCAGTTTATGTTTTCTTATATGGATTATGCTTCTGTTGCCATGTCTAAGATCCCATCACCAAATTCAACAGACTCAATATTTGTATGAAGTGAGTTTTAGATCCACACTCTTTTTTTTTTTTTTTTTTTTTGGCATGTAGATGTTTAGTTACAACATCTTGATAAGAAGACTATTCTTCCATTGAATTGTTTCTGCACCATTGTAAAAATCATTAAGCCATATTTATGTAGGTCTCTTTCTGAACTCTTGCTGTTCTGTTGATCTGTGTGTCTCTCCCTTCTGTGATACTATGCTGTCTTAATTACTTTAGCTTTATGGTAAATCTTAAAAACAGGTGGTGTGGTTCCTTTAACATTCTTTTTTCAAAGTAGTTTTAGCTATTCTAGTTCCTTTGCCTTTCCATATAAATGTTAGAATGAGCTTGTTGACATATACAAAAGAGCTTGTGAGATTTTGATTGGAATTGTTTGAGATGGTGTAGACATTTTGGGGTTTATTCTGTTTTGGGTTTGCCCAACTTCTTGACTCTATGTGTACGTCACCAAACTTGGGAAGTTTACAGCCATTATTTCTTCAGATCTTCCTTCAGCACTATATACTTTATCCTGTCTTTGAGAAATTCCGATAAATATAAATGTTAGACATTTCTTACTGTCCCACGGGTTCCTGAGCTCTGTTCATTGTTGTTATTGCAGTCTGTTTTCTCTGTTGCCCAGAGCTGATAATTTTTATCCATCTATGAATTCACTGACTCTTTTCTCTGTCTTCTCCATTCTGCTGTTGAGTCCATTCTGTATGTTTTTAAAATTTTGGTTACTGTTCTAAAATTTCCATTTGGTTATTTTTGTATCTTCTGTTTTTTAAACATTTGTTGCAAGATTATTTGATTTCTTTGTCACGTATTTTTCTGTAGGTGTCTGAGCATTTCATATAGCATTTTTGTATTGCTTGTTTGAGCATTTTAAATATCTGCTTTAAGGTCTTTGTTAGGTAATTCTAAGACTGATATCTCAGTTTTAGCATCTATTGATTTTCTGTAAGTTGAAATTTTTGCAGCACTTTGTCAAGTAATTTTGGATTATAGCTTGGCATTTTGAATATTACGTTGTGAGTTGCTGGGTCTTGTTCAGATTTAATGGAGAATATCAATCTTTTTGTTTTAGCAGGCAACCAACCTGTTAGGTTCAGGATACAATTATCAGATTGCTCTTTATGGGCTACAGTTCCAGTGTAAGTTCAGTTTTCAAAGACTGCAGTTCTCTTTGGATCTATTTCAAGTTTGTGGCC